TTTAAATAAATAAATAAATAACATATGATTTATAGAGTTGAGATCATGAGTCAATTGAAGCTAGACCACCATGGAAAACCTGGAAGCACTGGACGGCCGTAATAATAATAATCAGATGCTCAATAGTGACTGACTCCTTGAGGTATTTCCTGGAGTTCTAGTGAGAAGCAGTAACCGGTGGAGTTCAACCAGATCTGTTGTGAGATAGGAACTCACTGATGACATTGGTGAATGGTTGCTCAATTTCGTGAATCAGTTGAAGTTAGACATTAACACCGTTGGATGCCAGCTCAGTGGTCTATCGGTTAAGGGCTTCGGCTCGAAACTGGTAGGTCCTGGGTTCGAATCTTGCGAGAGTGGGTTCGTGGATGCGCACTGCTGAGGACTCCCATAATAGGACGAAACGGCCGTCCAGTGCTTCCAGGTTTTCCATGGTGGTCTAGCTTCAATTGACTCATGATCTCAACTCTATAAATTACTAAAATCTTCACAAAACCCCTTCTGAAAATAACATATGACTTTCTCGAATTGCTTTCAAAACAAATTTTAAACAATAACAAATAAAGGGGGTGTCAAATTAGAATATTTGTGTTGACAAATATTTATACGACGATTTATCCCTAAACATAATGACTGTTATCATTACTGTCATTATTAGTATTTTCATTATACATTATACATCTTCCAGCTACTCATTTTTAGCAGTTCAGTGGAATTTAGTAGGTTTTCATTATCTACTCAAGTATTAATCTAGTAGTATGTATATTTTAGAATCAATTTAATTGAAAGTAAAATGCTCGTGTGCAGTGTCAGAGACATAAGGCAAATGAATACTTCACAGATTGACTTGAGTTGGAATACTGTTAAAAATAAGTTAGAACTTGTTATATCTGGCTGATTATGAACGCTATATTCGCTTCCCTAAGCTAATTCCGTACCCCCGAGCTAGAACTATACACCGACTTGAAGATCAGAGAAAAGGCACAAAGTGTGAGGGAAGCACTTTACTACAAGGTTCAATCTTGTTACAGAAAATCATAGGTATTTATAGATGTTAGCCAGTCCATTAACGACATATTATGATACCGACCAATAGTATCACGCCACGTTGGAACTCTAGAATATTCCATCGCATCCTGATTGGCTGGGGCTCTTTATGAGCCTGTGGAAGCTCTGTTAAAATTCTCCGGAAGCTGACTCAATAGAACTAGATATATCTTTTGTTGTAAAGGTAAAAGAATCATCTGAGTTGCTAACCTGTTCAATTATACTATCACTACTAGAATAAACTAATGAAATCTATCACCATAGAATTCAATCATTACATACACTATAGTTAGTAGATATCACTTTAGTTAATAGTTTTTCATTCAACTAACTAGTCCACAACTTCGCTTTCAAATATAACAATAAAATTTTGACCAAGAATTAGGATAAAAGAATGTCGTTTCTATATACGAAATAATAAATAGAAGAAGAAATAACTAACACAATTAAGGTTCGGTTATGATAACACTCATTGCCCCTCTAATAATGATTCTTCTTGAAATGATTATTCTGTAGTAATAATAAATAGAGGGGGTAGCACATGCTAAGGCGAGGCAACCAACAATTTCCCGTGAGAAAGTTCTTTTACTTATGTGTGTGTGTCAGGAAATACTGGGGCAGTAGCCATGATGTGAATGATATGCATGTAATGTTTGGTTTAGCAAATACGTTTTGTATGGGAATGATGAATATCTGCCCTCCCATGTGGGTGAATATACCTATATGTATGCTATGAGATACATGGGATAAAACGTTTATGTTACTGGTGTACATTTAACGTATATTTACTGACAGAGGATGTGTATCTGCATGCATGCCAAGCGATACTCCGATGAAATTTCATGTGTTAACAATATACAAGTAGATTATACATATTGCATATGCTCTCGAATCTATGTAGTTCACGTACACCTGTTCTTCTGAAAAAGGTTAAAAACTCATTTAAAGCGTTTCAAAGTAAGAAGAAACAGACTCGAATCACAACCGAAATTCAATAATCGGATTAGTATTATGGATGAAACTATAATTAATGAACGAACCAATCAGATTTAACATAACGGGTCTTGGATTTTGAAGTAAAACACATTCATCCATTTAGCTAAATAGCGTTTCGGCATTATAGCTGATGTCAGTTTGTGATGAAAACCAGATGTAATTCCTAACCATAACCATCAACCGTAAATCATAATTACAATTTCTCACACTGATTTATAGCCCTCATTTAGTTCCAGCTAGCAAATGGACATTCATAATGTCACTTTAGCGCTGTTCAAATGTCGTCCATAAATTATAGTCTTGCCATATTCTGAATATTGTGGTAACATTTCTTCTAACCACTAAGAATCATTATGGACGATAATTCTGCATAAGAAGTGAATGTATAAATTTCAGTAGGTATTTACTCTTCAGGAAGTAATTACGGTCGCGAAATTAAACTATTTAGATTGACAGTATAGGGTTGTGGAGATTGTTGGGTATTGATAAAGATCATAAATCGTTCAATGCAAGAGTCCGTTGAAAACCTAAAAGGATTGGACCGCCGTTTATTATTAATATAGGACTCTTCAGCACTGAGCATCCTTGAACCCGCACACGGAACTCAAACCCAGGATCTTCGGTATCTCATGCGATCGTCCAACCCCAGACCACTGAGCCGGCATCTAAAGGTGTTGGTGTCTGAATTAAGTCGATCCATGATTAGTTTCCAATGTTGGTCTAGCTTAGATCGACTCGAGAATTTAACTTCTAAAATACTGCAATCTCCATAAATACATATACTCATAATAAAAAAAATTTGCAAACTATACCATCACATATGTTTTTATATATGTATTCCGACTTGATTGCTTCTTCATATTTAAGTAGTAGTGAACAGAGTTCGATCATTTCATTATAGAATAGTAACCACATTTCATTATTATCCATATTGAAAAGGAATTCCTGTAAGGAGTTTGATAAAGAACGAATTCATTTCCGCGTAGTAGTAATAATGATGATATCATACATTCTCTTTTATTTACATTGTTTAATTAAAATGGGCAGTTTGACCTAAGCATCATACAATAATACTGTATGTATTATTATCGCATACTCAATTCGTAGTACTCACACACTCACTTACACACATAGTTGTAAGTACATTTACTAAGGTCATATCACTTATATTACCTATAGAAACTACAATAAACTGTATCTACTATATGGTATAATGAAGAAGTGATTAAAATACCGTAGTGTAGCACTACTTTAATAGATTGTATTGTAATTAGTGAGGTTAGAAACAATGATGAATGATGGAATAGATTCAATTGTCTTTCACAAATGTATCCTACACTTTCCCTCCTTTCCATCTATTCACAATAATGAATTCACTTCATTCTATTGTTGCATGTACCCTAAACTAACATTCATAATATAACTCAAATAGAGAAATATGACATTTTATTGTATTGAATGAACAAAAATGATGCAAAGTATATATTGTACATGTTTCATTATTCTATTGTGTATACATAGTGTACAAAAGCTGAAATACAATTCAAATACAATACAAACAATGATAAACAAAGTTGGATAGTGGCTAGCAGTGGAATCCAGGACACGCGTTTCGTCCTATTCGGGAATCATCAGAGGGATGTACCTGCATCTCAGAGTTGATGTCCATTTTAGGACTTGAACCCAGTACCACGTTATCCACTAAACTACTGAGTCATTGCTTGTATAATTTTTAAATCTACTGTAGTCAACAAGAACACGAATGAGGACAATTGAATGTATTTAGGCATAAAATTACAGAATATTTCACTAAAAACTGACAATCTGTTATAAACGTAGACGATGCTGATTATAACTCTAGGGGTTTCTGGTTATAACAGTCCTTTCACTTTTTACACGTATGTGGAACGTTAATTTACCTTGGACGAATATCTACACTAGATTCCCACCCAGTGTCTATTCTACACAACTTCAACACAACTCAGATCAAGAACACGAGGTTAGCCCAACTATAACGTCAATATATTTCCACACCAAAATCCGACACAAAGAACAGTCAATCAATAAGTGTCCATCAACAAGGAACAGTCAATACATAATAAGGATAGGGGAATATATATAACACATAACACTTGTCATCCTATCTAATGTCTGACTCATCAAGACAACCAATCACTGTCATTCTCGCCCACACATCACAATCATACAGTAAATAGTTAATTTGCAAGCCATCAATCGTTTATCTCAATTCTGACCACACCTTCTGCAAATATCAATCCATCGTCTCTGATTTCACTGTTCATTCATTTGCATACCCGATGTGTTCCGTTTCCGTTCTTTCGTTATTGGTCGTCTACTGAAATACATTTTTCTGCCTGACCATCGTTATATATTACTGAAATGGATATAAGTAACCCATATCACATAAGTGGTTGCAATTGATGAATACATTTACTAATGAATATTTTGTATATAAGGTGAAATGAAATGGTTTCATTCTATTATATCTCTGATAACATCAATTTTAGGGTAGGAGCGGTACTGGGTTCGAGTCCCAGAATGGACATCAACTCTGAGATGCAGGTTCATCCAGCTGACGAGTACCAAATAGGACGAAACGCGCGTCTTGAATTCCAATGCCAACCATCATCATCTCAGCTTATTATCAGTGTAGTCGTTTGTTCCATAAATCTTTCTATGATGACTGTTAATCGTTTCATCATTCTAAATACAACTTAACAAACACACGGACATATCTGTGTATATTAAGTTTTAAAAAGAATTCATGTCATTTCAATAGATTCATAAACAGAAGATGAAATCAAGTGAATGTTTATTAAAAATAATGACAAAACCATTTTTCATTCATCACGATTCATATGGCAAATCATTCATAACTTATTCACTGACAAAAACCTTCGAGGGTTATACGCATATGAAGTGAGTTATTCATCGCACTATAATAATAACAACATTGAAAGTGAAATAGGAGTAGTGACTTGAATTAAACCATCACAATAGATGAAAATTATAAAGAGCAAACAATGAACATATACATCATCATCATCATCATCATCATCATCATCATCATCATCATCATCATCATCATCATCATCATCATCATCATCATCATCATCATCATCATCATCATCGTCATCACCGTCATCATCAGGCATTCCACATTCAATTGAAAATATATACTACTGATATCTGTCCATATCAGTAGCACACACCACAATATAATAAATTTAGAAATTCTCAGACGAATACTCTCCTCCCATTGGATGAAATCAAATTACAAGCTACTAGCAAATATCTGATTGGTCAGTATGCTCATGTCGTACAACTATTTAAACACCTGAAATTCAATGAACATCATGGTTGTTGAGTTATATCTTATCGTTTCTATATCAATCCATCATACATTCTAACTTACTCTAAATGACTAAACATTTATTCATTATTCACATTTACATTTCAATTTACCTTTTCGCTTGTTATCATACACAGTCAAATACAAGAAGAGACATATCGATGTTATCCACATGTAAATGGTGTACGGACTGTATTAAGAATATGTCTTGTAGTTATTCAAGATGGATAGGTGCATGGGGACTACCGAATCAGTCATTTATAGATAACTATACTCTGGGTGTAGTTCGAACTTCATCATCTTGCTTAAATGAATGTCTATCGAATCCTGTATGCTTTTCATTCACAAGTCCAACTGTAAGTTGAAATGAATTTGTGTATTATTGTGGTTTAAACCACTGATTTGACAGTATTAAGTAAATGAATGAGTTCTAGATGGTCATCTGTGTCAGATCAACTGTACATATATCACTCACTGTAGATGTGAGCAATACATTTCAAGAAACCTTGAAAATTTCATTCAACATTGTTGTTAATCATAATAACCATAATCTCATCATCATAAATTATTAATCTTATTATTCGCTTTCTATTTTGATGCTTTTCTTAGGATTCTCCAACACAATGCACTTTATATTCAAAGCCCGTTAACCCACTTGGTGAATTTTACAATCGTACAGCATTTGAACTTGGAACAAGAATATGTTGTAGTAATTCTCAATTATTTGCATTATGATGTTATGGAAATTATTATGTTTTTGATTGAGATCATGAATAGACTGATGTTAGACCAACATTGAAAACTTGGAAATACTGGACGGGCATTTCGTCACATTGTAGAACTCCTCAGCAGTACACATCCATAATGCCGATTGTGATGTTTGAATACAGGACCTCTAGAGCATTGAACCTATAGTCAGTCAACGATGTTGACGTCTAATCTCAACGAATCCACAAAATTGAGCGAGATCGTACATGCGCACTTTTGAGGAGTCCTTCAGTAGGACGAAACGGTAGTCCACTCCTACCAGGTTTTCAATGGTGGCCTAACATCAATCGGTTCATTATTTCGTTTATTTGTTTGATGACAATGGTAATTGAATGTTTAATGTTAAACAGAGACGAAAATGATAAGTAATAATTTATTGAAAGGTAATGAACACCTTACATGAACATGTATTCACTTTAGTTTGAGCAGCAATATTTTTCATAATGGGTCTATTACAGTAAACATGTAATGATTCTGCTTCAATTCACCATGTGTATACATTGACACATTGGTTTGTACAATAAATCTATACGATCAGCTACTTATGTATGAATCAGGTTCACTCACTAACTCATAGGCCAGTATTGAAGTGATTACCTCAGAATGAAGAGACACATGTGTCAGGAATTGGAAAATAGTTGAAATATTTTTGTAGGAAACAGTTTAATCGAAGATTAGCTGAATACTTATTCCTACATAGTTGGACAAATTAGAAATAGAGCGTATGTGTGTGAGTGTGTATGAGTGATTGCACAAACTTCATTGGGATACAAAAGTTAGGTTTTGTGTACATGGATTCCGATAGCGTCAGCAATATGTAGAATAGGAAAACGTATTTAATTTCTACATTCATTAATGAATATTCTCTACCACAGTCTCTAATTATTTCATACGATGTAAGACCTCTTCACATTTTTATACTTCAGCTGATATCAAAAATTTAGGAAATATCATTTCGCCGTGTCTCCCATGCCCCAATTGTACAAAGCTCATGCAATGTAATCAAACGTGTTATGTAGTGAAACCAGGATTACCGGATAATAAATTCATCAGTACATATTTCCTCAATAAAATCAATGCTACAATCAATTGTGCAGATGAATGTGAACTCAATCCTTACTGCCTAACGTTTTCATATATTGTTGTAAGTTCAATATATACCGTAAATAGTTTTAATTTAATAGCATATATAACAGTAAGAGAGGATGATTAGAAAAGCACTGATTTTCTCATCAGTTGAAACTCCCTTAGATGATGCTACCAATGTATATCGATGGTGAAATTCATGGAGTGTCCGAATATTTTGAAACTAAGACAGATATTCGATTATTGATATGTCTTGTAGGTTGAACGCTATATTCAGATCCTAAGCTATTCTGATAACCCCAGGCTAGCACTACTCAGCGACTTGAAGACCAGGGAGAAGACACAAGTAACGAAGAAGATGCTTTATTGCAAGGTTCCTCTTTGTACAGAAAATCGTAGGTATTTATAGATGTTTGCTTAAGTTAAATCAACATCCTAATTCAGCCAACCCACTTAACGACATAAATTGCTACTGACCAATGATAGCGTGCCACGTTAGAACTCCAGAATGTTCTGTCATGCTCTGATTGGTTGGAGCTCTTTTTGAGAATCTGGAGGCTCTGTTGGAGTTCTCTGGAAACCTACTTAACACCTCCCCTTTTTTGAAGAAGCGGGGTAGGTATCCAGACTGCATTTGCTGACTTCAACCTCCCCCACGAAATAATGTTGGGTCCCCAACTTCCGACATGGTTCCGTTGTTGCAGATTGAATTTATGGGACGATCTAATAATTTCAACTTTTCTATCCAATCAAGTCCCAATAAGTCGAGTGCTGGCCGTTCTGTCAAAAATATTACTCCCTTCTTTGTAAGCTCTGCGACTGTGATTTTACAGTGAACCTCACCAGCAATGTTTATAATCCCCCCAGATGCGCCGTGTGCTGTCTGATAGGTTGAAAATATTCTCGGCCTCCCAATTTTCTCCCACGTCCTCCTGCTTATAAGCGTTATATCGGAGGCTGTGTCTAGCTGTAAGCGGGCATCGTACCCGTTAATCTTGAGGAAAACATACTTTCTACGATTATGGGAGCCGATTCTGTCAGCAGCTACCGTCACCTTGGCTGTGCGTGGCTTGAATCTTTTAGAATAAACTTTAGGTTGACGACGTTTTCGGGTTTTGCAATGACTTTCTTTGTGTCCTTTCCTGGAACACGTAGTACAACGATGACTTTTAAACGGACAAAACCTTTTGAAATGCCAACCTCCGCATAACCAGCATGGGGATGATGGTTTACCGCAGTCATTTCGATAATTCTGTATGCTGGAACCTTGCTGGACTTTCCTCTCAACAGCATTAACGTGGAGGAACTGGTTAGTGTTTTCTACCATCGAGGTATCGTGCTTCAAATTCACTAACCTTTGACATTCATTAGTCACTTCCTGCAGGGTCATGTTGGGACAATGCTCAAGTTTGCTTAGGATTCTCGTTCGGATGTCAGCTTCCTCAGGTGAACGCAGGCTACAGACAAATACTAAGCATTTAAACTGGTTTTCAGACATGGAAGACAAATTGAACCTCTCTCATTCTCGGTTCACAATACCTGCATGTTTCACCCAGTCATCTCCTGATTCTTTCGTTATCTTCAAGCACTGGTATCAGATATTAAATAGAGACGACTGTTCTCCAAAGATTTGAGACAGGGTTTGAATTGTTTCATCAAAACTAAAGTCTCGTGGGTTCTTCGGGAGAATAAAGTTACTATAGCGTTCATGTTCTGTTGTCCCAAGCTTTCTTAGAAGTATTCTGACTTTTGAAGCGTCATCCAGTCTGCAGAGATCAATATGAAACAAATCTTCATACTCCTTAAACCAAGAGTTAAAAGTGACACCTGCTGCACCATCAAAATTAAATTAATGGATTGCATTAATAACTGAGTCAGTGTGAGATACTTGAAATTCACCAGCAGCAGAGTTTTGTTGAGACATACATAATTTCTGCATAAGAGCTTCCATGACTCTGATTTGAGACTGTTCAAACTGTTTTTCTTGACGCTCCATATAAGCTTCAAATTGCTCTAAAGAAATACTCATTGTCATTTTTTTCTCGTCGCCAGTGATATGTCTTGTAGTTTTTCCCCGTCGACACTGATATGTTTAGTAGGTTGAACGCTATATTCAGATCCTAAGCTATTCTGATAACCCCAGGCTAGCACTACTCAGCGACTTGAAGACCAGGGAGAAGACACAAGTAACGAAGAAGATGCTTTATTGCAAGGTTCCTCTTTGTACAGAAAATCGTAGGTATTTATAGATGTTTGCTTAAGTTAAATCAACATCCTAATTCAGCCAACCCACTTAACGACATAAATTGCTACTGACCAATGATAGCGTGCCACGTTAGAACTCCAGAATGTTCTGTCGTGCTCTGATTGGTTGGAGCTCTTTTTGAGAATCTGGAGGCTCTGTTGGAGATCTCTGGAAACCGACTTAACAATTATATTCCCAAAGTGAAACATTGATGATTAATTTTTTAAATGTTTATTAATTCATCGGAAAAGTCATGATGGATATAATTGTTTCAAGCCGGAAAACCTACGACTTGAAGAGTTTCACTTCAATGAATATGAAGCATACTTCGTATCAGATTTTCACTTTTCCAGTATTATCCTATATTTCGTTCACTCTTCTGTGCCCCCGAAAGACCTGGTACGACCGAGGGTGGAGAGAGTCAGCTCTACCTCTCCAAATGCCCTCACATGAACAACCGTATACAGCAACAACAACGGAAGTCCTAATCACTGCCTTCAATCTCCGAGAGTGCTGATTACGAAATTGAGAGAACGAAAGGGGAATGTCCGATGCTTTAACCGGGTTGATGGACACGAAAGGTCCACCTACGGGAGTTGGGAAACCCTGATTCCATACCAATGGTGCACATAGGCTACAGGATCTTGAAGGAACACAAATGTTGTATGAACCTATTGTTCGTCACTGGCTATCATGGGATGGCA